GCTGCGAGCAGCTGCAGCATGGGGCAGGGAAGGGGCCGTTTCTTCCCTGCACTCCTTCCCTGCCCAGGGTCCCCCCACGCCCTTCTCCCCCCAACTTACCTGTGGTTCTGGCATGGGGCAGCCACATGCTTCCAGGCCAGAAGCCCTGGGAGGGGCTTCTGGCTGGGGTGGGGGATGATGCTGGGTGGGGCCCGCTGTTGCTGGAGCCTGCTGTGCTTCCCCTGGGTCCTACTGCCCTTTGTTCTTGTCATTTTTTGCAGGAACCAAGGGCAGAGAAATATTAATTTTCTACATTTTTTAGGGGCCCCGTGGGCCGGATAGAATTGTGTCTACCCCAAGAGTTTTGTTTGCCTATGCCTTTAGACCAACATGGCTACAACTAAAACCTCTGAAATGATTAGCATAGGCATCATTTGAAAAAGTTCTATTTATCCTAGTTTGAAGCCAGCATAATTTTCACTGATTAAAAAATGAGATGACACTCATAAATTGTGCCAGTTCTTCAATGGTTTGCAGCCCTGCCTGGGTAGACAACGTTGCCCTGTGGGGTCAGGCCAACTTTCATGATCTCAATATTGTGCCGTTAGACAAGAAGGTGTGACACAATTGCACATATACAAACACACAAATCACTTGGGTGCATACATACATTACCAACTCGGGCACATACACATCCAAACTAGCCTAGGCATATGCATACCTATCACCAATTCAAGCACATACACTATACACCCCAAAAGTTAGACAAAAATCAATTGTTCATACCCACACACTCAGTACACATACACAGATCACTAATTTGTATATCACACACACATAAGTTCCTAACTTGAAGCTGTGTGTGCTTGGGGTACCTGGGATACTTGGGGGAAGGTTAATGTGAGAGAGAGTTAAAGAGTAGGGAGTGAAAGTTACCAGAACCGGGATTAGAACCGATGGACTAGAGAGAAGCTGGCTGAGGAACTACTCGAGGTCACTGGTGCAAGGGAAAAAAGCCTGGTGGCAAGGAGGAGACAGCCAGGAAAGAGAGAGACGGAAACCTGGGAGCTTGGGCCTGAAAACTGAGGCAGACAGCTGAGATGTCTTGGGGGAGAGGGGCAGATAAGTGGTGGCAAGGAGGAGACAGCCAGGAAAGAAACTGAGGCAGAAACCTGGGAGCTCAGGGGGAAAAGGCAGTGGGGATAAGCCAGTGGCAAAGAAACGGGGTTTGGAGGCAGAGAGAAGCTCAAGACAGGTCTTGGAGGTGGCGGAGAGCCAGAAGCAGAAGGAGAAATGAGACACAAGATAGAGGGGCAGAGATTGGAGCAGAGCCGGACTGTAGTAAAGCAAACCCAACTCAGGGGTCCATATAACAGTTTTATTAAACAGACAACACATTACACAGCCCCATGAAGTTATTGACTCTCTCACACATGCACACACTTGCGCACACGTGCACTCACAATGGCAGCAGGAGAAACAGACTCAGTGTAAGTGTTGGAGTCCAGGTAGGGAAGAGAAGCAGAGTCCAAGTCCTTGGTTGAAGAGGGGGTGGGGGTGATAGCTACCTATCCAGTCTGGAAAGGAGTCTTTGTCCAGCAGGTGTTGTCCAGAGGGGGTCACTGGCAGGGCCTCTGGGTGGATAGGTGGTGTGGCATAGTGCTGGTCCAGATGGAGAGGGCATCCCAAGGAGTCTGTCTTCTCTACCTCTTTTTATGGAGCAGACTACCTCTGATCTCCTATGGGAGGGCCTGTCCCGGCAATGTCAGTCCTGTCCCAGAGGGCTCCAGATGTTCTTACTGAGCATGTGCAGCCTTGGCACAATGGTGGGTTGGTTCATCTTTTGTTTCTTGAATGCTGTAGGTGGTTCCAAGGGCTGGGTCATTGGTCCAGGTATTGGTGTTGATGGTTTGGTCATTCAGAGGGAGCTATTTTTAGACCTACTGCCATTGTCTCTCATTCATCCCCATTCATTCAGGAGCCAAGTTACATAGAAGGGGTAGGCACAAGTCATAGGTTACACAATGGGGCACGGGTAATAAGATGGAGACTTGACAAACAAAATGGGAACTTAACATGACTTTACTGTTTTAGGCCTACATATGTAAGTTAGCAATCACACAATATAAAAGCAGTGAAAAATCAATACAAACATAATAATTATCACTTATAAAACAGTGGATACCTATATCAAAATAGCAGGGCACTTATTTGCAAAGAGGGGAGAGAAAAATAAAACTTACTACCTAAAATAAAATGTTAAAGCTTATCCTACATCTTAGCTTACTTATACTTATCTATAGGGAATAGAGAGGGAGAGAAAAAGTCAGAAATGGTTGGGGAAAGGGAGGGAAAGCATTTTAAATTAAAAGAAAAGAAAAGCTGGGACTTTTGCTACAACAAGACCTTATTTGCTCGTCTTGTAATAATCATAAAAGCTTCATTCCCAAACTAGATGAAATAAAACAGAAAGGTTTTCAATGTGTTAATGTCTGGTTTTTTTTTAATTAATGTTTCCTGCCTCTGCTTACTAATTGCACAAAATTAGTTGGTTACTTATGCTAGATATAACTGGAACCAAGATAATGAATAATGTGGCTCTTTTAGTAATGTAAAATACTGAAGTATTGTACAGGTATGAAAGATTACCAGAAACTTGTGCAAGGGTGTTGCTGGATAGAAAAGCTGACTCATTTACAGAGAAATGTAACCAAGGGGAAAGAGCAAAGCATGAGGAAATGGAGGGTTAGGAAATTATGATGCTTGTCTCAAAACAGAGGAAGTATAGATATTCAGAATGTAAAAGGATGTTTTGAAGATTTTAAATTGTATTTGTTTTTGGAACAGCATCTTGTTAAAATTTGTTACCTATTGAGGCAGGTAACAAATCTGGGCAAACCTACATCATAATGTAGGTTTGCCAAGACATTGCTGATAAATACTTTCTGTACTGCGAGCAAAAAAAAAAAAGGTAGTATTTTAGCAGTATGAGATTAAAAAAAAAACAAACAAAAAACAAAAAAACCCCACTAATCTGAAAGTTAAATCATATTATAGAAATGTAACAAGTGCTTTATCACTTCACCTTTTTCAGAGAGATGGTGGTCATAAAAAAAAAAAAAACAACCTAGCATGAGAGCAGATTTCATTATTTAATACAAAGAGTGTGACAGGATATTTTTTAGATAATCAGTGTATTAGTAAACTTTTAGATTTTTACAAATTTAAACGTTCTTAATGTTAGTGTTTTTTTTGTTGGTTTTTTTGTTTTTTGGATGTGACAATTGTTGCATGCAAAATCTGATTCTGTAGTAGTTGGAAAAAATCCTAAATCTGCCTTATTTAAGATGCATCTCACCATCCGTGTACAACCATGAAGTTTTTAGAACCTATTAATGCAGATTTGTAGCTGAAATTATACATGCACTTTCAACAAATCAAGTTGTTTCCTACTTTAGCTGTAATTTAGCTTTATTGTGAATAAGTAATATTGGAGGGGTTGGTAGTGTTTTGTGTGTTGTAATACAAGAATATCTTAGCTGCTCTAAGAACTAAAATGTTGATTATTTGAGTTGTACACAAGGCTCTGTAGGCATCGGTCATAACATTGGATTGAAACAGACTTAAATGAAATGGCTTGTCTTTTCAAAGAAAAAATGGGCTAGAAAAACCATCTATGAAATATACTGGGCGTGTAAGAGATTCAAATTTTATACATTAAAGTTGGTTGTGAAATAGCTTTCTTTTCAAACTTGATCATTCTATTGGGGATCAGAACTGCAATTCAAATAAAATAGAAGGTTTTAATTTTTTTTTGAAGAGAAGTTGTCATTTGGACATGCACATTTTTTTTCTGTGTAATATTTAATGTTTGCTGAATTGTTCAGCCCCCTGGGGTGTGGGCAGGCAGCAAAACTCAGAGGAGGGAGGGGAAGCTTGGAGGCTCCAAGTGATGTTGCGCCTGGAGTGGCTGGGGTGATGGGGAACAGGAGCCAATCCCGTTAACTCCTCACAGGCCACATGCAAACAATGTGCCACCAGTTGGACGGCTCAGATTATGCTCTGTAACTTGGCATAAAGAAAAAGGATGATTCTGTTGGGGAGGCAGCAGTCTGACAGGACTGAGTACAAAATGGAAATCCCTTGAATGCAGCCTATGATTCTTAAGTAGAAGACTCTTTGTGGGTTTTTTTACCTTTTTTATATTGTCTTTTTCTCTTTCTTTGGAAAGTAAGCTAAAAAAGATAACCCCTCTTCTACCCAGTGTCGTTCATTTTTGCAGTCTGCCATTAAGTCTGGGCCTCAGTTTGCTCATGCTGAAGCTGTCTTTGAACAGACTACACACAATTTAGAATGGGGGGGTTTCAACATTTTTTGGTGGGTGTATTCCAGCGGCCAGTCCAGAAGCAGGGAGTCCCTCAGCCAGTCGAGCAGGGGGTCCCCTGCGGCAAACCCCAGAGCACCGCCAGCGAAACCAGAAGTGCCCCCACTTCTGTTCCACTGCTGCGTACCCCCTGGGGGCTTCCCAAGACCCCAATTTAGGACATTGATTCTGCTGCCACAGAAGTGTAATTAAGTACTTAATCTGTCAGGAACCACTTCCCCGTTCTTCCTTCCTCTCTTAATCACTTCTAATTCCGATTTATTTATTGCTACCATGATGTATTTTAATATAATTGTCCTAGATAATGCTGACCTAATTGTCATTTTCAGTTTAAACATAATGTATTTAGATTGAACTATTGTCTTGTTTCTTTCCCTTTCTTGTGCATGTATCAAATATTGTGGCTCTTAACTTGACTTTTCAAAGCTATGTATGTTTTTCTGTATCATTAGGTCTCCACTGATACCCTAAGTAAAGAGAATAATTCAGAGTTACCATCAGGTGAGTTAATTTTTTACTTTGTACCCCATCTGAATTAGCACTGACAATAATAGGAATTTGACAGGGTGTTTTTTTTAAATAAACTGTTGTCAGTCGAGAAACCTTTAAATTAATATTCTGTACTAAAAACTCCTGTAAACTATTATGAATTGTGTATTTCATTCTTATTTCTGGAATCATACTGGATTGTGAGCACTGAACATCTTGTCTTTCCAGTTTTCTTTATCCTTTGTTAGGTGCAGTTGCACATGCTTACTACCTAGTAAAAAGTCGGGTGGACGTAGTGTACAGCCTTGCTACTCAGTAAATCACTCAAATCCAGGTAGAGCTACCCCTTGGAAAATGTGTTGAACTTTACTGTATGTGAAAGTTGCTATATGGAACATGTATGTCCACTCCCAGGGAAGAAGCCCTTTGCTCTGTGAAGCTTCCCTGTCACCTAGTGGCAATTACGCAAAGAACCTTGTCTGCAATGTGTTGTAATAGCATCTACTTTAGGGAGGTAGCGTGGGATAGGCAGTCGTTTGTCGGTTACTGAAATCTTCTGTATAGTAAGAATGTGTTTTTCTTTAGTAATTGTCGTGCTGCACCCTTAGTTAGCGTATTTGTCAGCATGCATTTGAGATGATCAAGTGGAACTAAACCGTGGAAGATGGGATAACTGAGTCAGGCAAGGGGAGCCAGTTAGTTTTTGCCCCCTTTGATTCAAGAATAGGATTTTTTTTTTTTAAATAATGAGGAGAGGTGGGTGTAATTTCAAGACTCAATGAATTAATAAATACCAGTGTCTTTAAATACTGGAGCACAACCATGTTAAAGTTTATTCTTTCTGCTGAAAATAAAAGTTACCTACTACACAGTAATACCAAACTGAAGACAGCTTCTTTATGTGGGGAGAAAGTATAAATTTTGGAGCAGTGGGCAGTTTTTTATTCCTTAAAACTTTCTTTTTTTACTCTTTTCTTTTCTGTCTTATAAAAACCCCAAGTTACTTGCCCATGACCAGCTTTTGAAAAAGGACCAATTCTTGTAAAACTTTCAGTAGTTGAGAAGGCAGAATTTTTTTCTTGGAATCCATGACTTGCTTTGGTTTTAAATGGGTATGTAGGCGATGTATACAGACATTCATGGTGCTTAGTGAAATGTGGGTTTAGTTTCAGAGCTTGATCCTGCAAAATGCTGTGCCTTCTAGTCCTGACTGCCACTAAGTTAACTTTTGCACAGGGCTTTAGCACAAAAAGTAGTCCTGTTGGGATGTCACATCCTTCTAGGTGGTTTTCCTCAGTTAGGATCAGACTGTAGAGCACGTTTATAAAGTTGAATTCTAGATGCATAAGTGGGTAGCATATATATATATTGTTGTTAAATTATGAAATGGGATTCGGGACTAGTGTATAAAGGATTCAGACAACTTGTGCGATAAATAACAGAAATGCTTTATTTACTACAACTGTTCACTATTAAAGCAAAGTCCAGTATATTTAGCTGTAAAAGCGATAGTATCTCACCAATGCAGGCAAAGAGGCAGTCTCAGTCTTGTCAGCTTCTGAAGGCATGGATCTGTCACCTGAGAGATCAGGTTTTCTGGGCACAGTAGCAGTTCTTGTGTTGAATGATTTCTCACTCTTGGCACCTGCCCAGTTAGCTGCTTCTTTCCTCTTATACCCTGGTGTTCAGCATCTTCAGAGTATTCTTAAGTAGAGAAAAAAAATAAACCCAAGCAATAACTAACAGAAAGATCCTGTTGCTTAAACTGTTCATTATTGGTTATCAGAAAGTCCCAATTTTGATCGAATTACTTTTCTCAGTAACAGGAGGTTATCAATCTCTACTGAGTTGAAACATATCAGGAAATTGATTAACAACCAGAAAAACACAGATGTGTCCCTGGAAGATCAAGAGAACCAGAGATGAAACAACAGTGAATCAGGAGGAGACGCCTATCGAACCCCATATGGAAAATGTCTCTTCCTGCACATAAACACAAGTTAATTGCAAAGAAATATGTACTATAGTAATTAATCAAGGATAGATGTTTCACAGTCGCATACCAAACACATAGGAGCCTGCTTAAAATCTTCATAGGTATAGTAAGATAAGCTGGAAGTGATGCCTCTGTTTCTTTTCAGAAGGTCCCAGCTACAAACTTGCATCCTCTTGCACCATGCAATTGTCATCAATATTTTGTAGCTTAACTTTTATGGGTATGCCCAATTTAGCTTAAGTTTCACAGTCATCAATTGTGGGTAGTATTTTCGAAAGTAGTATATGACCAGGCAATAAGCAGAATGATCTGGATGTTGTGGGATGAATGAGTTGCACAATAGTAGGCTTAGATTAACATTTTGAAGGAAGAACGGGGTTGTTTTGAAGCTGGGAATAGGAAAAGATGCAGAGGGACCAATTGAAGCAAGTGTGTGTGTGTGAAGAGATAGTGTGGTAGAATTATGAGGAAAAGATGTTAGCCAAATATTGGAAGTTGTTGACGGGAGTTAATGTGGAAAGATAGTATAAAGTAGGGAAGGGATGTCATAATTGGGAAAAGAAAATAATTTTGACAGCTGCATCTGGATAGTCTGGAAGGGAAACATTTGAGAAGCAAAGATCACTATATAATAGTTAAAGTAAGAAGCAGCTAAGTTATGATCCTGGATGCTTTTGACAGAAGAGGATAACCAATTTTAGAAAGTTAAGGAAGGAATGGTAAAATGTTGGTTGGGGAAAGAAAAATTAATTAAGGTCAGGCAGATAATAGGTCTGTGAAGTGTTGTGACTTAACTCAGATTTATTCAAAAGCACTAATAGTTTTAATTCTTTGTTCCTTTAGGGTTTTTAACTCCCTCCCCCTTTCTTTTGTGAGACTTCCCCCCCCCCCCCCCTTAAGTGTCTGTGGTACAAGAGATCTTGTGTCAGTACTGATTTTAGAGGAAGTATTTAATTTGGCCTTGATTTGGGAGGAGGAGTTAGGTTGTGCATGACTAACTGTTACAGGCTTTAGGTGGGTGGAGGTAAAGCTTTCATTTTTCTTTCCCAGGCTCTTTGTTCAATGAAAGGCCTATGGATTGTGGGAGTTTTTATATATGGGACTTCTGTGCCATACTTTAAATTTTTTTTAATTAATTAGCATTTAGCATATTTTCATTTGAAACTTTATTTTAATGCATTTTTTTGAGCACATTTGCTTTTCTGTAGTGTATTTTTTTTATTCGTTCTTAATGGCACTTCCTAGTAGAACTAGTGTTACTTCTAATGCATTAAGGTGTTTCTGGGGTAAGTAGTTCACACTTGCCTTTCTCCATATTTCATATTCTCAGAGGAGATTGAAATGATCAGTATCAGTTCTTAGAGATAGATGATGATTGCTCTGGGTGATTTTATTTTGGAGGAGAGCTTGTATTGCGTATGAAAACTTGTTTTTCTGTTTTTTTATTTTAAATGTGAACTGTATTGAGGGAAGAACAGAAACATAGATGGCATTGTTTCATTTTTGGACTGAAGTTTGTGGTGTGCAATATAATGTCCATGCAACTTTTACGTATTGTAATAATTGATCATATTTTTTTGCATTTTTCTCATGCACAACTTGTATAACAGCAGTGTCAGAATGACTAGCCAAGTCTGTCTTCCTTTTGCTCTCAAACAAGATGTTCCTCAAGGCTAAGCTATTTTCCTGTTTTTCATAGCTTACCTGGTTTGTGACTGTTTTGACAATCTGAACTATACAATTAAGGCAGTCTTACATTACACATCCTTCAAGCTCAGGGCAAACAAATAATCAAAAATCTTTTGCATTTGGTCAGTTAACTCCTTGGCTTTTGTCTGAAAAAAAGATGGGTGTTAACACAACATGTTCTATATATTCTTTAGCTGATTCTAGACTAAGAATTAAATTATAGGCTGCCACAAACTGAGTTGGCCATGTTAATATCGAAATATATAATGTGTAAGATGTGTTTTATATAAAGTGCTTGCTTATCATTGTTTTCAGGGCAGTTATCCGTGTAACTTTTTTTTTAAATTTTATCAACTCCTATTGTTGGTACTGAATCAGTATTACCTTATTGACATTGTATATGTTTGAGTCATAAGGACTCAGCAGAGCTCTGTTGAGCAATAATGTGTCTCTTTTTGTTGAATTATCAAACATTTGCAGCCACAGAATTAAATACTGATCTGAGTCAGTGGTCTGAAGTCAAATAATATTTTAGACCAGTCACTTTCTTTTTTTTCCCCCAACCTTTCTTCATTTGCCAACTGCTAAACAATCGCAAATGGAGGTGATTTTCTGAGTACTCTGTACTTTTGGAAAACCATGACTTTAAGGTGTCTTAGGATCAGTGTACAAAATCGTCATTTTGAAAACTTCCATGATGAAATAAGTAGTATAGAAAATTGGATCTCAGTTATAGTTGCCTGATTAATGCTGTGGAGAAGAAGTCCAAATTTTGATGCTGTGGAACATTATAATATAGCCTGGCATAGGTACAAGAAAATGACTGGTGTGTTTTCTTCTCCTCTCTTTCATTCTTCAAGAGAACCTGTGGCTTGAATTTACTGAGTTTTTCGTTCAACTAAGTGTTTTTAAAGAAGGGAATTGTCTTTAGTTTAAATATCAAAAGTTGAAATAATACTGTGTCTTAAGTTTATGTGCACTATTTCCCTTTAAAAACTATAAGTAGGTCATTTAATTTAGTTAGAGTGGGATCTTGCAAATACACTACATTTTTAAGTACATCTTAAATTTCTGTTTCGATATATCCACCTGTTAAATAATGGCCTGACTTATTTTTATAAATTGTTGTGGTGCTTTGTTGAGTGACTTTTGGAAAGGGAGAAACTACACAAAGTTATATCAAATGGATAATATGAATTGGATTAGAATGTGACTTAAACTGATGCCTTTTTAAAATTAATGTTGTTTTCATTTTATAAACTGTCATTATTCCATAATAGGACAGAATCACCAAAATAAAGGAAAGCCAAAGAACAAAACTAGTGATTCTGAAAAGGCAAGGTGAGTATAGTTTATCATGAGTTGCTTTTTATGATGAAAACTTCTGGGATGACACTTGAAAATTTTGACTCTCCCTATTTTTATTTTATTTTTATAAGGACAACTGTTATCTTGGGGAAGTGTTAAAATAGATCAGATAGAAGGTTAAATGTACATTTTGAATGTTTTAATACATTTTGTTTGCTTTTTACTGATGATGTACTTTTTTTAAACTTAAAAGCTGTTTTCACCAGCTTTTTCATCCTCTTGAAGGCTATAACATTGAATTATTTTATAGTAGTAGATATTTTTCCTAGGCATAAGGTTATGGTCAAGGGGTAGAAAGTAAACTGAAAAAGCAAAAGCTCTGATGATAAATCCTGTCTTCAATAACAAACAAAACACTGGAGAACATAACTAAAATAATAATTCTATATTTTAATCTTCCTTTAAGTTTGTTCATTTTTTCTTTAAATTCTTTTTGGTAATCTTTGAATAAAAAGTATCTAGAATAATCAACACCTGAATACAAAATCTTAACATAATTGACCAAATGAAAGTAAAAATGAAGTCTTTTCAGGATTTTCATGGGCTGTAGCACTTCTTAAAAATTATTATTTAGATTGACAGTTTGTCCTTACTTCATTCTTGATCTGATTGGGCACTTTATTAAAGGTAATGAAAAAATCCTTAGGTAGACCTGTATATCTCTAGGCACTGCAGAAGTTTTTGGCTCACATTTTAGCTATAATATCATTATAGTAGTAGGGCATTTTAGGACTTTGAATTAATTTACAAGTTACTCATTATGTACTCAAGCTTTCATTCTTGCAGCCTTAGTTAATTGTTTTGTTATTCCTGCAGTAGTTGAAGGTATAAATTAACCCTATGATTTTGTTAAGGTGTTAATGATAAAGGGGAATTAAGGTTAATGAAAGAGAATTGGTGTGAAATTATGTTTTGCTGGAAGTTATAGAAAATTGCTTTTTAACTTGACCTAGTCTGACATATTAAACGTACATTTCAAGGAAAACCTGCACTTTAAGATAACTGTTGATTAAATGTATTTTAATCAGCTTTCATGGAGAGCTCTAATGTTTGGCGTTTTTTTGTGAGCCATGTATAAATAAATGTATAATATGAAAATTCTTGTTAAATGACTTAACATTTCTCCAAACTACCATGGTATTTGTATCTTTTTAGCTGTTTCTCTGATAAATTAGACATAACAATGACTGTGTTTGTTGGACAGTGTAAGATAATGTGGATCTTGTTCTAATTATTTGGTCAAAATGTACTCCTATCAGCATAACTTGGTTTGTATCATATTTTCAAGGCCTTGTATGTGCTGTTGTCTGTATGTAGCAGACAAGTTGCCTCTGAGAACTCTGATTCCAGCTTGGCATGCTGTCTTCAGTTTGTTTCTTATGGGATGATCCTTATTAAGTTTTGGGCCATGCTGATATGATTATTGTGATATTTCTGAGTCAAAGCCTTCTGCCTAGCAGATCATAGTGCTGCCCAGAGGCATGGCAGGGCTACTATATGGCATATAGGGATTTATAAATTATTTTTTAAGATGCTTCAAAAGTATTATTGTTTTCTTGTATATTTTCAAGTTGTTGTTGTTGTAAAAAATAATTTGTTTCAAGTAAAAAACAAAATGTGTTGTAGATTTCTAAGAGGCTAGATATCTTGGATTATCATTTGATATCGAGGATGTTTTAGTAAACAGCTTTTTAATACTCGGAGGCTGCACACGTATATTTAATGTGCAGCAATTAACTCCAGTGCATTTCACACTGGAGTTGATTGCTCCAGGGCACTACATTTACATGTGCACCCAGGATGACGGCATGTTGAGATGAGTTGGAGCAGCCCCAGCTGGCAGAGGGTCCTGGGGGTCAGCCTGGCAACTGAGGGCTTTTCTGATCCAGCTCAGTGTGCTGCAGAGGGGCTGGCTGGGGCATGAAGGTGTTTCAGTGCCAGGCTAGCCAGTATGCAGCCCTGACACTGAAGCATCTTCATGCCCCAGCCAGCCAGGTCAGCATCTAGATGCGTTGCTGCTTTTTTTTTTTTTTTTTTTTAAATCTGCAGCAGGAAAGTACTTGTCTTTACAAGTGTTAACCTGCTGCAGAGTTTATTAGTTTCCTGCAGCCTAATGGGGGTGCAGTGTGTAGATGCTAAAATGTCTACTGCAGAGCTAATTAGGCAATTCCACAGTTAACATCTCATTTAGATATGCCTAAATAGTAACACAAAAAAGACATAGAAGAACTGCCTTGGCCACAGGAACACATTTTCAACCATTTTCAGAACTGAAAGTACAGAATTTCTTTTTGTCAACAGGTTTTCTAATTTAACTGTGTGAATAATTCCAGTGTAGGCAGTGGGAGTATTAATGTCCTTAATTTTTAAGCATATGCATGTATGCTTTGTCCAAAAGCTAAATACTGTACATCTATTCAGTTTTGGGGGCAGTGTCAGATCAGTTGTTAAAAACATTTATAGAACCCATAAAATCTAGTGGGCTAAATTTCAAGGGTTTCTTAAAACTGAAATCTGTTTCTGTTTTATATTTCTGTATGGCCTGCAGCAGGGGTGGCCAAATTGCAGGGCCTCATGTGCTGGAAGACCTGTGTGCAGTGACAGTGGTGTTACTCCCTGTGGCTGCTGCTCAGCCCCTTGCCCCTTCCTTTCCCCCTCCCCCAACTGATTTTAGTTCCCAGAGGGGGATGACAAACCTTGATTTTAGGTGGCAGGAAGGGATAGACTTAAGTGAGCTGTGTAAACTCCCTGGGTTCCACAGCTGTGCTGAAACAGCAGCTCAAGCAGCCATTGGGATCAACACCACTGCCATAGGGCTTCTGGTGCCCCATAAACCAAATCCAGACTCGAGGTGGGTGACGTAGCCTATGAGAAACCTCGTAGGTCAGCTGTTTGACACTCTTGGCCTAGAGCAGTGGGGCCAATCTTTTTGGTAGCTGTCTCACGAGGTGAACCCTGTGCCCTCCAAGTACCACTCTGATCCCCTTCTCCTGCCCAATCTGTTGCCCTGCTCTCCACTCCCTACCCCTTGTCCAATCTGTTGCCCTTCTTTTTGTTCCTTTACCCTATCTGCTACTGTGTTCCCTGCTCCTTCCAGTCTGCCATGTGCTCCACAACAAAGGCTGCCCATGCCACTTATGGCCCAGAGCAGGTGTGGCCAAACATGGCCTCTGAGAGTGGCCACTGGCAGATGGTGGAGGTGATAAGCAATGCAGTGGCATGTAGGGCAGGTAGGAGAAAATAGAGCAGCAGATTAGATAGGGCATACTAAATAGGGAGAAGGAAGCAGAGCTGCAGATTGGGCAGGGGAAGAATGTCACTTGGAGAGGGTGCTGGGCTAATTTGTGGCAGGGCTGCCAAAAAGGTTAGCCCTCATTGACCTAGAGGATCAAAAAGAAAACCCGGTCACTTCTGCTATATTTACATATCGCAAAGAGGTTCATCCATCTTAAAGACTAATATAAATAAACAAGACAGAGAGTAGGAGAAAGGAAGAATTATCACCTGTTCAACAGATTGGTAAACGAAATATGGAATAAGTAAACTTGCCCAATGATATACAAAGAGATAGAAAGGTCATGGTTTTCACATAAGTTGTGAATTATACCAGTTTCAGATGGTGCAGGATCTTGCTTAATCATTTTCCTTCAGTTTGCATGGCTTTTTAGTTTCACTTAAGAAGAGTTAATATTTTTTTCTTGAGATGGATGAAGGCGTAATGTTTGTTCAGCTCATAAAAGAAAATATTGTTAGTCTTTTTTTAAGGAGGTGGATATTTGTTTAGCTCAGTGATCATATTCCTGTTTGTATATACCAGGGAGTTCCTCCGTTTATTTTGGAGATAAAAGATTCTTCTGAATTCTTAGAGATTTGTATCAAAGGCAATGAATGTTTGCTGCCCTTGACCATGGGGTAGTACCAAGTCAAATGTCATGCAGTTATATAAGCAAAGGACTTTCCTTGTTTTTTGTATAATGGGATATATCATAATGTGTATCTGCATACTCTGACTTGGAAATTGAGCTTATGATAATACTGTCTTTAATTGTAGAGAACACCTGAATTTGAAGATTGACTCTAAAAACATCCAGGATAAATTCTGCAGTGCTGTCCGACAGGTAACTGAAGAAAACCACAAAATGTTAAGATCGTAGCTTAAAAAACTTTTTGTCTCTCTTTATGAATAAACCATGTGATGTTGACAGCAACATTAAATACCATTGCTGAATTTGTAATACTTATTTGACTAACATGGTATACTTGATCTACTTGCTTAGCTAGTTTACCTCTGATATTGTTTTAGCATGCTTCTTTCTGACAAGCATATATCTGCATGTCACAGTGAACTTGAAGCCTTACTGAGTTTTAATCCAAACCTTTTACCACCTGGCAAAAAAAAAAAAATCTCTGATCCATATTGGAAGGTGCTTTAAAGAACAAGCTAGTATACCTGGCTTGGGGCATTGGTTAGATTTTGTCTACATTTGTGTATTTTTGTCTTTAAGGCAAACTCGCAAAAAGTAGCAAGGAGGAAGGGGGCCTACCTGCTTCCTTTTGCATCAGTGACTTGAATGGGATTACTTTAAGTACTCCTTGGATGCCTAGTAATGGAATAGGATCTGGTACATTGTCACCAATGTAGAGGAAATTTGGTATGAAAACCTAAAAAAACGAAAGAAATGAACAACCAGTCACTTAAATATTCGTCCATTAGCAATGTAACAGGCCTCATATTTATGACTAATTTTACCATCACCATTCTTCCTACTTCCTATATTGTTTTTAAAAGACAACAAATATTTGGAATGTTTTCACAAACTAGACTATTATAGTAACCTTTCTATTTTGGAGTTCATTTAGCATTTTTACAGCTTGAATTCTGACACTTAATTCTTCACAGAGAGAATTTTAGCAAGATAAAACTCTTAAGGTATAAAACTTTACATTTTACAATTGTATGTATGCTGCTCATGTGCCATAGGCTATTATTATTTCAGATATTTACTATATTCAAGAAAACAGTAGTATTACTTTGGACATGAGAAACAGCTTTCTAATCATTATTTTTAAAAGTATATGAAAATAAAAATGGGTTATTTCTAAGTATGAAAAACTGTACTTTTAAGCATGACTTAAGAATACAGTTTTAATAATTAACTACTTTGTGGTGTTCAGCTTGTCACAGTATTAATGGTGATTTTAAATGTGTTTGCATAAATGTATATAAAAGATAAGAAGGGCATCTTTTCATACTTTCTATCCTCTGATATAATTAAAAATAATACTCCACAGTGCTGTTTAGCCTCATGTGCCACCAGCCAGTTGGGCAACTTAAGCTCATGTTTTCCTTACTTCCTCCAGAAATTTCCCCATTTTTTACAGTTGTTCCTCCATCCTTGCTCTGCCTTCCAGTGACTGGATAGAAAATTATGGGCTTGACTTTTTATTTTAATTTAAGTTCCATCATATGTTAATGAGTCCTAGTGATGGCAGCTTATAAAACAGGTCCATGTGACACAGAAACAGTATAGTATTCTGGTCCGTTATGCACATTTTATATTACTCTGCTTATATGTTGTAAAAACCCTTGTGTGTTGTACTTTGACAAATAGTTGCTGCCTTGAAATTAAACTGTTTTGATTTCTCTTAATTATTTGTTCAGAACACAATCACTCAACTGTGTCCCTGGGGAATGAGTGGTGCACTGGCATGCAGCTCCACTGATTTAATAGGCATCTGCTGGCAGGAAAGTCTGCCCTGTTGTTCAGAACATAGGATTGAAATCAAAGACATAATTGTTCAAACATACCATGTTTGGAAGTGAACTGGAAGAGTAACACTTGTACAGTCATTTTAATTAATCCCAAGATATTTCAGCATTAAATATGAACCAAGGCCAAGGGAGAACATACAGGCAAGAGGGAATTGTTTTACATGGACTGGACAGCCTGAGGGGAAAAAAATACACAGAGAGCCTAATTTTAGATAGCAAAAGTGCTGAAAAGGAAACTTGAACTCAACTGGTGAAATTGGGTGAAGAGACAGAAGCCTAGATTTGAACTGAGGACTAGAGAGAATAGGTCTGTAAAGTAGGCTGGAGCAAGTCTAACGAGCACTGAAATGGAATAACTTTTAACTGACTTTGAAATAAGTGGAAAGCCAATGAAGTTATTTCAGAATGGGAATAGAATTTTCTTAAACTCACCCAAATTGGCTGTTCAGAGATGCTTTGGATAACAGCAAGCCAGATTTGACTGAATGCTAAAACTGAATTAAATATAGGAAGGAATAATTGTTTATAATTAAAATGAAGATATACTGATAGTAATCATCTATCAGGTAAACTTTTTTTTTTTTTAATATTGGGCTTATTTTATAATATAGTGAACCAAAATTTGATTGTGAATATTTTTTTTTTTTTTTTTTTTTTTTTTTTTAGGTGGATCCAACTATGTTGCCAGAAATGTTAAAATCTCTTGTTTGTGATGGCTATAAAGCCTTGATGGACCAGCGCTGTCGCAGTGCTGAGCAGGCCTTTTCGCAGTTGATGAATATTCTGGATCCTTCAGAATTAAAGGTAAAATCAAGGGAGAGAGTTCTGACCTGTTTATTGATTTCATAGATTTCATAGACATCAGGGCTGGAAGGGACCTCGGAAGATCATCGAGTCCAGCCCCCCGCCCAAAGGGCAGGAAGTCAGCTGGGGTCATAGGATCCCAGCAAGATAAGCATCCAGTTTCATCTTAAAGGTGTTCAATGAAGGCGCTTGAACCACCTCCGGTGGCAGGCTGTTCCAGACCTTGGGGGCTCGAACAGTAAAGAAGTTCTTCCTTATGTCCAGCCTGAAACGATCTTGAAGTAGTTTGTGACCATTCGACCTCGTCATCCCTTGGGGCGCTCTGGTGAACAAACGTTCCCCCAGGTGCTGGTGGTCACCCCTGATAAACTTGTAGGTGGCCATCAGATCACCCCTGAGCCTGCGCTTTTTCAGGCTAAAGAGCCCCAGGGCTCTCAGCCTGTCATCGTAGGGTCTGCTTCCCTGACCTCTGATCATGCGCGTGGCTCTTCTCTGGACTCTCTCAAGCTTCTCCACATCCTTTTTGAATTGTGGAGCCCAAAACTGGACACAGTACTCCAGCTCCGGCCTCACTAAGGCCGAGTACAGGGGGAGAATGACGTCCCGGGATTTGCTTGAGAAGCATCTATGGATGAAAGCAGAACCTTGCATTTATCGGCGTTGAACACCATCAGATTCTCGTCCGCCCACTTGCTGAGCCTGTCCAGGTCAGCCTGGATAACCTGCCTGTCTTCTGGTGTGGATGCTTTGCCCCAAAGTTTGGGGTCATCGGCGAACTTGGCCAGTCCGCTTTTGACTCCAGTGTCCACATCATTAATGAAGATGTTGAACAGTATGGGTCCAAGGACAGAGCCTTGGGGGACCCCACTGGTCACAGGACACCACGATGAGTGACTTCCATCGATTACTACCCTCTGGGTCTGACCCCGGAGCCAATTTTCCAGCCAGTGGATCGTGGAGGACCCAAGGCGACAATTGGCCAGTTTCTCCAAGAGGCGATCATGGGACACCAGATCGAAGGCTTTTTTGAAGTCAAGATATATGACATCAATCTCTTCTCCCTTGTCCAGGTGATAGGTCACCTGGTCGTAGAAGGAAATGAGATTGGTCAAGCAAGACCTACCCGCAACAAACCCGTGCTGGCTATCCCTTAAGATGTTGGCGTCGGCCAGTCCATTAAGGATGGCCTCTTTGATAAACTTTTCTAAGATCTTCCCCGGGATAGAAGTCAGGCTGATGGGCCTATAGTTAGCCGGATCCACTTTCCTCCCTTTGTTGAAGATAGGCACCACATTGGCCTTCTTCCAGTCTTCGGGCACTACACCAGAGCGCCAAGAGTTTTCAAAGATCCAAAGATTGAGGGTCAGTGTACTTTATCCTGTAAATATTTCACCTTCTTTCTTTTCTTTGAAAATAGTTTATTATTGTAATTACTTTTTGTTTCCACTTCAGTCTACTGTGTGCTAGGCACTGTACAAATAAAATATAAAGGAAGACCTAGTCTGTTTAAAGGAATTATAATCTAAAAAGACATAGAATGGCATGTAGGGAAGAGATGCAACATATATGCTGTATTGTTCCAATTACAGGACTGAAAACCCCCCCTACAAAAACAGGTCAGAGCCTTTCTCTCAGTATGGATTCATATTTAAGAACTCTTGTTTTAGCTTGTGAATTGTGTAGGTGTTTGCACACCTAACAATAACATTGTGCAGTATTCTGCAGCACCCATACAAAGGACAGCACCCCAGGATTGTAAAGGATAATACTTGTAAATATACGTACAATCCTGCTGCAGAGATTTTTACTTTACAGCAGTGCACGTATAGATGCTGCCGTGGCTAGCTGGGGCATAAGGGTTGCTTCAGTGTGGGGGCTGTCTGCCAGCTATAGTCCTGCACTGGAGCACCCTCATGTCCCAGACAGCCCCTCCACAACACCTTGAGCAGGGGGGGGGGGACACGGGACGGGACAGCCTTGGGCCGGCAGGCTGGCCCCTGGGGCCCCCTGCTAGCTGGGGCTGCTCCTACCAGGCTCAGTGTGCTGTCGCCCCATGTGCACATTCAAACAGTGTGCCTGGGAGCAATAAGCTCCGGAGTTAATTGCTTTCCATGAATTGCATGTGTACACACACCCAGTGTCAAGCATTTTATCAGTGAATGCAGCCTACCAACCCGTGTCACGACTTTGCCAAGAACGTCAGTTTCAGATTGTTGCCATGCTATATCTCAAGGTGGGCAGGTGATGAGAAGATGGTCCCCATAAGCCAAAAAAGATCAGAAATCCTTAATTTTCTTTACCTAGCTTAACGCGCTTTTTTTTTTTTTATATATACCCATCTTAACACTTTTGTTGCTGGGGGATAGTGATGGTATGAGCAGTGTGGACAGTTTTTTGTTTGTTTGTTTTTTTGTTGTTTTTTTTTCTTCCTATCAATCAGTAATAGTGGTAGTAATAAATAGTACTTCCACATCAAGGCACAGAAGAACATTCAGGGTTGGTAGCTTAGTCTTGACATATTCTATTGTTATGATTCCCTTGCTTCTATTGTAGAAGCTGAACCTTGCTGTTATTGATTATGTTGTGATCATCTATGGGCATGCTACTGCTCTTCTTGGAATAGGGCAGCCAGAGGTAAGACTTGAAACTTCTAAAGTTCTTTTATTGGTATGTTAATTCCAGTCCAGACAGTAGGTGATGCATTTTTGCCTCTGTTTAACAGACTAAGTAAATATCAGGAGAGGAGGTTTTATTAGATGTTAGGCAGTCATATTGCCTACTGTCTGCAGTGTTGTTTTTTTATTTTATTGGAGCTCAAGAAGTTAATATGGCAATCAAGACCATTACTTTAAGTTTTCAAATTGGATTTGGAGACCAAGCTAATGAAGGAAAAATCATTTCCTGTATTAATTATTGTCTTCCCTTTTTTCTAATATATAGAGGAGATAGTTATACATTTTATTTTTGTTGACTTTTGGTTGAGTTTTGTTGACAGTGTTGGTCCTTTAATGTACAACACCAGAAAGGTCTACCTCATTTAAAAAATAAAATTCAATATTTTGGAATATGTCTAAAAATAGCAATATAGTAAAGAAAGTATGTTCACTGGAGATTGGGGGTTAGTTAAACAGTGTTTAGATTTATTCATTAGAAAGTTTAAAGACTAATGGTAACATTTTACACATGCCTCCCTAAAGTAATAAAATGAATGGACTAGTTAAAGGAGAAGCTTAATTTGGAGTATGTAAGCTATGGTCAGTCATCTGTCTCTTTTCTCTCACATCTGCATAACAAACTATGCAATCAAACCCTTATTGTTCTTTGAGCTGATTAATGCATACAAGATGCAGTTAAGAACACCTATCCAAAAGCTTTTTCCTTCTTTCAAATAGACTGTGAATGAGTCTCTTTTAATTTTATTTTGAAGGAATTAGCAAAGGCTGAAGATGAATTTAACAAAATAATTGAACAGTACCAGAAGGAGAGATTTAATTGCTTGGCACATTATGGAATTGGAAAAGTATATTTTAGACAAAACAGGTTGGTACAATGTAAAACTTGAATGATTTTGAGTTTGGGCAGATGCAGATGTGCTCTTAAAATACATTGTTCTATTTTATATGTTCTAAATATTCTGTTCCTTTTTAATAGTTAAACCTTTCCTTTCAGCCCATTTTAATTTGTTACTTTTAAATATTATGCTAACTCAGTTTCCTTAAGGACCACATGAGTTGCACACATATGAAGTATTATATTCCCTGTAAGTCATTTGTATGAAATGGTTGTAGAGATTACTGATATGTAATCTAAACATCCTGTTATCTGTTTGAAATTTAGATTTTCAGATGCTCTGGATCAGTTCCTGAAATCGCAGACAATGGTTAATCGTAAGATTGTACCTGGAGTATTAACTTGGCCCACAACTTCTGTGGTTATCCAAGAGACTCGGCCAGAAATGTTACAGGTAATATAAACTCTGGAAATAAGACTGTTCTTTGGGAAAGAGAGAGGTTCTGATTTGATGCACATTTCACTTAGGTATTCTAGCTTGAATGAAGCTTAGTTTTTTTGTAGTATTGCCAAGAGAGAAGACAGGAGTTGCTCTTTAGAAACAGTAGTATTTCTCATCATTTAGATCATCTTCAATTTAAACCTCAATCTGTGGAGAACAGTAATCTGCTCCCACAGAAGCTAGTTAGTGCTCCTTGTGTGACTGCCTTTGAAGCATGCCAGTTCTTATAAACTAAAATCTAGCATTGACAGCTCTATGTGGTGTGAGTGTTCGTTTCTAAATGTTAATCCGCTCCTACTGGGAGAGGGGCAGACAGGTGGGGTGCATCTACGCAAGATGCTGTACTATGTAGTAGCGTAGTTCACTATGCAGTAAGCACATGTGTCTGTATGTACCCATGCTTACTGTGCAGTACTGTATTTTCACGCATATACCCCGCCCGCGGGTATGTCACACCCACGTATAACCCGCGGGAAATAGTATTTTTGTAAATAAATCCACGTATATGCCGCACCTGTGTATTCCCCGCGGCGGTGTATACACGAGGAGGCAGCGCAGCCCGGTCTGCCCCAGCAGCGGCGGCACAGCCCGGCCTGCCCGGGCCCAGCAGGGAGGCTACATAGCCCAGCCCTCCATGGCCCCAGCCCCCGCAGCAGTGGCAGTGCAGCCTGGCCTGCCTGGGTCCAGCAGGGAGGCAGCGCAGCCTGCCCTGGCCCCCTCAGCGGCCCCGGCAGCAGCAGCAGCACAGCCTGGTCTGCCTGGGGCCCAGCGGGGAGGCGGCGCAGATGGTCCCGGCCTCCGCAGCAGCAGCGGCACAACCCAGCCTGCCTGGGCCCAGCGGGGAGTGGTGTGGCGCAGCCCGGCCCACCTTGGTCCTGGCCCCGTCCCCCTGCGGCGGTGTCGCTGGCCCCGGCCCCCACAGCAGCGGCGG